GTGTTTTTCTTTTTCTTCCAAAGTTTCACAAAAACATTTTGCAATCTCCAGTTTTAGTTAACAGTCCTTTTCAAGGTTTGACAGTTTCCAAAGTTCCTTTTAACAAAATCCCCCCAAAACTTTGATAGATCTGTTTAATTTTGTGAGACGCTGCCAATGATTTACAAAGTACCCGGTCCTGGGGATGTTTTTTCCAAAATCCCCAATTATTTTTGCAAAATTTCTATAAGTTATATTGTATAAGTAGATATTAGGGTTGTCAAAAGTATCGATACTCAAAAAAGTATTGATACTGAAAACGTTGTACGATACTCATTTTCAAAAGTATCGATACAGCCATCTAAAGTGCAGAATAGTGGAAATGCACTTTCTGAACACTATGTGATTGAATAATTCTTTGCATTTTTCAGTTTCAGACTTTTTTTGTAAGAGGTGCAGCTGCTGAGAATTATTTTTGTTTAACATAATTTTAATTTTGTAGTTTTTTTTTTAATCAAGATTGCTTAATATTGTGCACAGCATACAACCTCAAAATATTATTCTTATTGTTTTTTAATTTATTTCTTGTATTATTTTTAGTAATGCAAATATTTCTGTTGAATTTTAGAGTCTTTGTTTTTTTGTGGTGTCGAAAAGGGTATCAAGTATCGAATATTTTACTTAGTATCGATTAGGGGTGTAAATAATAATCGTTTTGTATCGATGCATCGATCCAACAGCCGATGATCCGATGCATCGATACGTCCGCAAGAGAATCGATTCATGTTTTTTTTTCCTCCGGTCTATTTTTATCCATTTCCTCTTGGGCGTAATTCTTCCTCCCGTGCTGTGGTGGCGCTAAACCTATTTTGCCCTCCTACCTCGCTTCCTGGTTATACTCTTACAGAAGTGTGTTGCAGCAAGCTTCACACAGACATTTTTAAATTATGCTCAGTATTGAAGCGTGGTCTGTGCTACACNTTTACACTTGCTCATATTTTCAGACAAAAAGTTAATGGTGCATCTCCCAAATGTCCCGGCCGCAACAACGCTTTATTGGTTCCGCTATCGGGACGGAACCAATAATGGCGAGCCGTTATTCTTTTAAAATAAAAAAGTGTCAATTTTAACGTTTTATTTAGATTACAAACATAAATCGCAATAAAAATAATCCTATTTATGATGTTTTAAGAATTAAGACCTACGAATGCCTTTTAAGACTTTTTAAGGACCCGCGGGAACCCTGGCTGTATATTAACCTGAAAAATGTGTTAAAACAGTGTCGTTTTAAAACAATGCTGTTAGATATGTTTATTAATTAACGCCCCAAATATCACCCCTCTTTGTGCATTCTTCACATAAACTCAACTGTACTGTTGTCGTTAAAAACCCCTCCTTAAAACACATTTTCTAAGGAAGAACAAGCTTTTTAGGGGTAAAGAAAAGGAAAGAATAATTTGCTCCAAGGTATTTGGTTTTAACTTATTACATGCAAATTCAAAATTACATTCGGAAATCATAATTTATTCTTGAAATGTCTCTAGATCAGGTCACTGTTATATGTTAGTATTTTTTATAGCCATCATAAATGTCTCAAACATTTAATAATTTCTTTAAATACCTGAGCATTGCAGCTGTGAGAGAATTAAAGCTCCTTCAAACTGATGACTGACCATCTTAAGGTTGGGTTTCACACAGCGAATGAAACTTGAGCCCTGGACAAAAAAATCAATAATTAAAAACAAGATCTTATTCAGGATGTTTATGAAAATAAAGTGAGCCCAAAATGAATTATTAACTGATAATAAAGACAGTTTAACTCACGGTGCTGCGAAGCTTCTCAAGGAGCAGGTTCAGTTGTGTCTGTGCAAAAAGCAGACAAAGTTTCAGTTCTTTTCAACACAGAATGAAAACAGAAATGATCAAATAACTTGTTAAAATATTGCAAGGAAAGACATAAACTTTTGCAAAACCTCGAGTTTATTTTGAGAGATCAAATCAAAGTGAGAAGATTGAGTAGTTTTAAAAGATCCTCTGTTTTTTTTTGAATGACCATAAAAAGGTTTTCTGAGATCTTCAGTCACTTTCTGAGATTCCTTTGTATAAACTAGCATTAGTTCTGCAAGATCCAAACTTATTGTGGAGGTTACTGAATATGCTCCTTAAGATCCTGAGTTGTTCACCCAAAGTCCCAGAAATATGTTTTAAAAAGATCTAAAGTTTATTTTGCATATTCAGTCCAAAAGGTTTGGAAATTCTTTGTTGAGTGTCAGATTTCCTAAATTGTGTTTTTCTTTTTCTTCCAAAGTTTCACAAAAACATTTTGCAATCTCCAGTTTTAGTTAACAGTCCTTTTCAAGGTTTGACAGTTTCCAAAGTTCCTTTTAACAAAATCCCCCCAAAACTTTGATAGATCTGTTTAATTTTGTGAGACGCTGCCAATGATTT